GAGGACCGGTTCTTAAACCTACAAATATATACAACACCTTTGTATCTTAAGCAAGGATGATCCTTGTTGGGCCGAAAGCTTTGAGGACCGGTTCTTAAACCTACAAATGTATACAACACCTTTGTATCTCAACCAAGGATGATTCTTGTTGGGCCGAAAGCTTTGAGGATCTGTTTTTAAAAACCTACAATTCTATGCAACACCTCTGTGTTTTAACACGACGAACTATCTTAATTTCAATAACAATAATATTCAGTTAAAACGATTAGATGGTCAGATAGATATTAATTTTTATACTTACCAGCAAAAATGCCCAAAACTTGGAAAGAAAGAACCAATAGTACATACGTCATTTTTACTGTTACTCGCCAGGTCTTCAATATGCTCACGTTTTTTATACCTAACCAAGGAAGCCGGAAGGGCGACGTAAGTCCGGGTTTTGTATCTTGTTGTGGAGAACTCCTAACCCTGACATCCTGCGAAACTATACGAGTAACAGTTTTGCACAGTTGGCAATACAGGAAATCCCGGGGAACGGATGTGACATACGTTATGGGAAATCTCCTGTCGAAAAATCTAGACGTCTACTCTTTTAGCGAAGAATAAAGCAATTAAAACAAAATTAATTAATTAATAACGGAACATTTGTTTTATACTTTGAAAGGTAGTAATGTAAACACTGTAATATTTTTGAAGTATAGCCAATATATTAACAATTTTACACAGTTTCCAATACACGTTTATGATAATAAATAACAAAATATAACTTTTTTTTATATTGTGTGAAGTATATATGTCAAAATTCAGCTGGTCAACGGATGTGTGCTCTTGTTTACCTTACAACTACAGTACATACAACAAAATGTCCCCTTTGTAAAGTATGCAATCTATCTGTAATGTGACTTGTTTTCTGTTCAATTTGTCCCCTTTGTAAGGTATGTAAACTGTTTAAAGTGTGACTTGTTTTCTGTTCAATTTGTCCCCCTTTGTAAGGTATGTAAACTGTTTAAAGTGTGACTTGTTTTCTGTTCAATTTGTCCCCCTTTGTAAGGTATGTAAACTGTTTAAAGTGTGACTTGTTTTCTGTTCAATTGTCCCCCTTTGTAAGGTATGTAAACTGTTTAAAGTGTGACTTGTTTTCTGTTCAATTGTCCCCGTTTGTAAGGTATGTAAACTGTTTAAAGTGTGACTTGTTTTCTGTTCAACTTGTCCCTCTTTGTAAGGTATGTAAACTGTTTAAAGTGTGACTTGTTTTCTGTTAAATTGTCCCCTTTGTAAGGTATGTAAACTGTTTAAAGTGTGACTTGTTTTCTGTTCAAATTGTCCCCTTTGTAAGGTATGAAACTGTTTAAAGTGTGACTTGTTTTCTGTTCAACTTGTCCCCTTTGTAAGGTATGTAAACTGTTTAAAGTGCGACTTGTTTTCTGTTCAAATTGTCCCCGTTTGTAAGGTATGCAATCTATATATAATGTTTTCTTCAAAAGGTTTTTCTTGTACAAAAACTTGAAGATAGCTTTGATATACGGAAACATCTGTTCTTGCACAGATCTCGCAATATAACGTTCATGAATGGAAACATCGGCACATGTAGGTACGTAGATCTTGAAAGTCGAATTGTTCAAAACTTGAAAATAGCTTTGATAACTGGACCAATTGTTGGTTGAGATGTTGCAAAGGAAATATCTGCTGAAGCTTTTCCCCAAACACTAATCATAGCAGAACCGTCTGGAAAATGATCTCCAGGAAATAGTACAGCTTATAAGATGAGTCAGATCAACGTAGGCCGGTAAGGCAATCACTGACTTGGCTGCAATCACTACTGTGTCTCTAGGTGTCCGAGATTTGGACAAAAGTTTGGTCCTGTATATAAAGTAATGGCCGTGTTACTCCATCTTCTAACTTGGCTGGAATCACTACCTTCTCTCTAGGTGTCCCAGATTTGGACAAAAGTTTGGTCCTGTATATAGAGTAACGACCTTGTTACTCCATCTTCTAACTTGGCTGGAATCACTACTATGTCTCTAGGTGTCCCAGGTTTAGACAAAAGGTTGGTCCTGTATATAGAGTAACGACCTTGTTACTCCATCTTCTAACTTGGCTGGAATCACTACCTTCTATCTAGGTGTCCCAGGTTTGGACAATAGGTTGGTCCTGTATATAGAGTAATGAATTCCTCTCACGTACTCAACGGTTCTGCAGGCTATTCTAATAAGCGTGATTGACAGTTGAAGGTACAATTTGACCTCTAGCCATTGTATATTAGCATAAGACTAATAGCGAAGATAGCACATAAGTTTCATTTTACTACATATATATTTCCGACTAAATGGGTCACGTGCATAGGAAACGATTTTTTTTTGTCAGTCATAATACGACCAAATCTTTCCGCTATACATTGGATGGGTGCAACCTCAATTCAAGCACTGTGTAATTAGGCTATCAAGTAAGAAGACGTAGAAGAGATGATTACTGTATAATTAGGTTTCTAACTTGTCGTCGGTCGTATAATTTATATACGTCAAAATGTTTGTAAAAGTAAAAATAAGTTTTTACAAATTCGACAACGAATTCATCATTTTATAAAAAAAAACCCTACCTCCCATGAAACATTTCTGGCTCGAGGAATCATCACGTTTTCCTGACTGTATCTAAATACAAGGAAATGAATTAACATTAACTTATCTATATATATATACACACATCCATACAGACATAGATGAAAATAACAAACTCATTGCATTTGGATCAAAATTATGTATATAAATATTCAGTAGAAGATAACGGTAGGGAGCAAAAATAAAAACCCACGTTTATATGGGAAAAACAAACAACAAAGACAAAAATGACAAATTACATCATCTGTCATGAAAGTACAAAAGCCGTAATATTAAAACGAAAATATCTGCGGTAGTAGTTGCCAAACACGTTAGGGAGCATCCTTTTATCAAACATATTCAAAATAATACTCATTAAAAACAAGACAAGTCAGATAAAGGGGGCTATGAATTAGAAAACAGAACCCAAGACGCCTCAGATCTTACCAGCATTAGCTGTTTACAGGGGCTAGGATTTAGAAAACAGAATCCAAGACGCCCCAAACCTTACTTGCACTAGCTGTTTACAGGGGCTAGGATTTAGAAAACAGAATCCAAGACGCCCCAAACCTCACATGCACTAGCTGTTTACAGGGGCTAGGATTTAGTAAAACAGAATCCAAGACGTCCCAAACCTTACTTGCACTAGCTGTTTACAGGGGCTAGGATTTAGAAACCAGAATCCAAGACGTCCCAAACCTCACATGCACTAGCTGTTTACAGGGGCTAGGATTTAGTAAAACAGAATCCAAGACGTCCCAAACCTTAC